TAAAATAAAATAAAATAAAATAAAATAAAATAAAATAAAATAAAATAAAATAAAATAAAATAAAATAAAATAAAATAAAATAAAATAAAATAAAATAAAATAGTGGCAAAAGGGGAAAGAACAAACAGGAAAATCTGCTGGAAGGGAGCACTGGAATGATTGCTGGAGGCTGCCAGGATTCCCAAAAAACACTGGGTTTTTATGCAGGGCCTGGAATGTGAGAGGAGCTCCGGTGTTTTTGCAGGATTCCAGCTCCCTGCCTCTGGAATGGCTCCATTCCCACCGGGAACAGCAGCAGAATGAACCTTTCTGTCCCCCCGAGAGAGAATCCAAACAAATCCTGCTTCAAACCCTGCTTCAAACCAGGGCAGAGCACCCAAGGAATCCCAAATTCCCAAAAAAACCTGCTGGACCCAGGAAAGCTTTCAGGATTGAAGCAGGAAAAGGGACACAAAAACACAAAAAAGGGCTGGGAGAGCTCCTGCAGCTCCCAAATTCGGCCTCTCCTCCCATTTCCTGAGCCCAAAAAACCAAGGAAAAAGGGAATTTGTTCTCCCATCCTGCCACATCCCGGTTTTAAAGCTCCACAGTTTGCCGGAAAATTCGGGAATTCTAAGGAATTTCCAGTGATTCCAACTCTAATTCCCAACTTGAGTTCCTCAGGTTGGGTTTTTCCCCCGCCTCAAAGGGGGTTTTTTACAATTTTAAGGATTTTCAAAGGGATTTTTTTTACAATTTTAAGGATTTTCAAAAGCGTTTTTTTTTTACAATTTTAAGGATTTTTTCTCACCTTGAAGTTTATCCCAAGGTTTTTTTTCCAGCTGGAATTTTTTTCCCAAGTCGAAGGGGTTTTTTTTCACCCTAAAGTTTTCCCCAACTTGAGGATTTTTCCCAACTTTATTTCCCAATTAAAAATCACCTCTGGATTCGCTTTTGCAGCGATAATCTGCTGAGAGATTAATGAGCAGAGAATTCCCAGAGCTCAGAAAATCGGGAATTAAACCCAGGAAGCAGCTCCTGAATTCCAGAGGGAGAATTCCCAGAGCTCAGGAAATCGGGAATTAAACCCAGGAAGCAGCTCCTGAATTCCAGAGGGAGCAGAGAATTCCCAGAGCTCAGAAAATCAGGAATTAGGGCCAGGAAGCAGCTCCTGAATTCCAGAGGGAGCAGAGAATTCCCAGAGCTCAGGAAATCGGGAATTAAACCCAGGAAGCAGCTCCTGAATTCCAGAATGAGAATTCCCAGAGCTCAGAAAATCGGGAATTAGGGGAAGAAGCAGCTCCTGAATTCCAGAGGGAGCAGAGAATTCCCAGAGCTCAGAAAATCGGGAATTAAACCCAAGAAGCAGCTCCTGAATTCCAGAGGGAGAATTCCCAGAGCTCAGGAAAAAATCGGGAATTTTTCACCCACCTGCTGCTTCAACAAATCCCGAACTTCCAGCAGCACCCGGTTGGTTTCCCTCATTTCTTGCAGCATTTCTGGCCCGACCTCTCCTCCTGAAAAAATCCAAAATCGTTGGAAAAAATCCCGAAGGATCCCAGCTTTGTGATCCAACTGAATAAATGAATATTCGGGATTCAGCCTCCAACCCCAAGGAGATTTATTTTGGCTGGGATTTGGTGCCAAAAGCAGCAAATCCCGGATTCCGGCTTTTCCCGAGTGTGGAAAAGGGGCCCGGCAGCCGCTGCCTCCTCTCACCTGGTCCCAAGGAATTCCCTGGATTCCTGCTGGAGGCGGGAGCTTTGCGGGTGGCGGCACTTTGGAGTGGCCGGCTGGGATCTTTGGGATACAAAGGACACGGGTGGAGAGGAAAATCGGGAATGCTGGAGGGGATGGAGCAGCTCCAGGGGAAAATCGGGAATGATGGAGGGATGGAGCAGCTCCAGGGGAAAATCGGGAATGCTGGAGGGGCAGCTCCAGGAAAATCGGGAATGCTGGAGGGGCAGCTCCAAGGGAAAATCGGGAATGCTGGAGGGGATGGGGCAGCTCCAGGAAAATCGGGAATGCTGGAGGGGATGGAACAGCCCCAAGGGAAAATCGGGAATGCTGGAGGAGCAGCTCCAAGGGAAAATCGGGAATGCTGGAGGGGCAGGAACAGCCCCAAGGGAAAATCGGGAATGCTGGAGGAGCAGCTCCAGGGGAAAATCGGGAATGCTGGAGGGGATGGAACAGCCCCAGGGGAAAATCGGGAATGCTGGAGGGGATGGAGCAGCTCCAGGAAAATCGGGAATGCTGGAGGAGCAGCTCCAGAAAAATCGGGATCCCGTTATTCCATGGGGATTTAATTAATTAATTAATTATTTTAATTAAATTAATTTAATTTAATTCAGGGATTCTCCCAAAATCCCAGTGTCCAATTCCCTGTTGGCCATGAGGATGCACAACCTCATTTCCCTGTTTTTATTCCTAGAATTCCTCGTTTTATTCCAATGATTTCTCCATTTTCCCTCGAATTTCTCTATTTTTCCTATAATTCCTCATTTTATTCCAATGATTTCTCCATTTTATTCCTATAATTCCTCATTTTATTCCAATGATTTGTCCATTTTCCCTCAAATTTCTCAATTTTTCCTATAATTCCTCATTTTATTCCTATGATTTCTCCATTTTCCCTCAAATTTCTCAATTTTTCCTATAATTCCTCAGGGTTTCCCCCATAATTTCTCATTTTTTTCCTAGAATTTCTCCATTTTCCCCATAATTTCCTTAATTTTTTCCCCACATTTTCTAAAAAAAAAGGATTTGGGGAATATTTGTAATTTCTCCAGTAAATTTTGGATTGGGAATAATTTGGATTTCCTCCTGGAGCTGAGAATTCCCCAAAAGCAGAGTTTGGAGAGGAGGAATTTGGGAATTTATCCTTAAAAATCCAAGGTTGTGCTGGGATATTTTTTTTTTGGGAATATTTGGGTGGTTTTTTTTCACTTAAATCAGCTGGAAAATGCAAATTAATGCAAAAAGTCTCTGGAAATTCTTTACAAAACTCATCAAGAAATATTTTAAAAATATTAAAAGATTTTAAAAAAGCTTCACCCTTCAGGAGGAAAATGGGAAAAAAATAATAAAAAATCTGATTTTATAGAGTTTTCCTATAAAATCCAACATTTCCAGGCTCCAGGTGGAATATCCTGGAATATCCTGGAATATCCTGGAATATCCTGGAATATCCTCACTCCTTGTCCCCTTCCAGCCCTCAGCGTTTTCAGAGCAGCCTGAAAAACCTCTCAGAAATCAGAGTTGGGTCAGAATTAAATCAGAGTTAAATCAGAATTAAATCAGAATTAAATCTGAGTTAAATCAGAATTAAATCAGAATTAAATCAGAATTAAATCAGAATTAAATCAGAATTGAATCTGAGTTAAATCAGAATTAAATCAGAGTTAAATCAGAGTTAAATCAGAGTTAAATCAGAATTAAATCAGAGTTAAATCAGAATTAAATCAGAGTTAAATCAGAGTTAAATCAGAATTAAATCAGAATTAAATCAGAGTTAAATCAGAGTTAAATCAGAGTTAAATCAGAGTTAAATCAGAATTAAATCAGAGTTAAATCAGAATTAAATCAGAGTTAAATAACAGTTAAATAAGAGTTAAATCAGCATTGCCAGCATTAAATCAGTTAATCAGTTAAATCTGAGTTAAATAAGGGTTAAATCAGAATGAAATCAGAGTTAAATCAAGAGTTAAATCAAGAGTTAAATCAAGAGTTATCTCAGAATTAAATCAGAATGAAATCAGAGTTAAATGAGAGTTAAGTCAGAGTTAAACCAGAGTTAAACCAGCATTAAATCAGAATTAACCAGCATTAAACCAGCATAAAACTAGCATTAACTCAGAATGAAATCAGAGTTAAATCAGTTAAATGAGAGTTAAATCAGAACTAAATCAGAGTTAACTCAGAGTTAACTCAGAGTTAACTCAGAACTAAATCAGAGTTATATCAGTTAAATAAGAGTTAAATCAGAACTAAATCAGAGTTATATCAGTTAAATAAGAGTTAAATCAGAACTAAATCAGAGTTAAATCAGATTGAAATCAGAGTTAAATCAGGGTTAAACCAGCATTAAATCAGAGTTAAATCAGAGTTAACTCAGAATGAAATTAGAATTAAACCAGCAGTAAATCAGAGTTAAATCAGAGTTAACTCCGAACTAAATCAGAGTTAAATCAGAGTTAAACCAGCAGTAAATCAGAGTTAAATCAGGGTTAAACCAGCATTAAATCAGAGTTAGATCAGAGTTAACTCCGAACTAAATCAGAGTTAAATCAGGGTTAAACCAGCATTAAATCAGAGTTAAATCAGAGTTAACTCAGAACTAAATCAGAGTTAAATCAGAGTTAAACCAGCAGTAAATCAGAGTTAGATCAGATTGAAATCAGAGTTAAATCAGAGTTAAACCAGCATTAAATCAGAGTTAAATCAGAGTTGAATGAGCATTAAAGCAGAGTTAAAAGAGCATTAAAGCAGAGTTAAAAGAGCATTAAAGCAGAGTTAAACCAGCACAAATCCACGGTTAAACCCGAACTAAAGCAGCCCTCCAGGCCTTACCAATCCTCCTCTGCTGTGCCAGGCAGAGGGGGCAGGAGAGGAGCAGCAGCAGCAGCAGAGCCGCGTTCATGGTGAGCTCTGGAGCCTCTCTCCCCATCCCTGCTCCGATATTTATGGAGCAAATTCCTTCCCCCAGCAGCTGGGACAGGCCTGCACGTCATTCCTGGCTGCTCCTGCAAAATAAACAATGTGAGAAACTCATCACTGGAGGACATGAAATTGCCTTTATTTTTTTTTTCTTTATTTTTCCCTTTTTTTTTTTATTTTTTTCTCCTTTTTTTCCCCTTTTTTTTTATTTTTTTCTCCTTTTTTTCCCCTTTTTTTAAGATTTTTTTCCCTTTTTCCTCCCCTTTTTAAATTTTTTTCCCCTTTTTTCCCCTATTTTTATATTTTTTCTCCCTTTATTTTAATTTTCCCCCTTTTTTCCCCTTTTTCCCCTTCTTTATTTTTTTCTCCTTTTCTCCCCCCTTTTTAATTTTTTTTTCTTTTTCTTTGCCTTTTTTCCCCTTTTTTCCCCCCTTTTTTCCCCTTTTTTTCCCTTCCCCCCCTCTTTTCCCCCCTTTTTTTCCTTTTTTTCCCTTCCCCCCCTTTTTCCCCTTTTTGTCCCCTTTTTATTCCCTTTTTCCCCCTTTTAATTCCCTTTTCCCCCCCTTTTTTTCTCCTTTTTTCCCCCTTTCCTTATCTTCTCTCCTTTCCCCCCTCCTTTTTATAAATTTTCCCCTTTTCCTTATTATTTTTTGCCTTTTTTTTGGTGCTAATTAAGGCCACAAAATTCCAGAATTCTTCTTGTGTTTGCTTTTATTTTTTGTGTTTTTTGAGGGTGGGTTTTGAGTCCAGAACAGCAGAAAAATCTTCTTTAACCTCCCCAAATTCCAACTGCAGAGCTCAGAAATCACCGGATCGGGATTTTATTCCCAAATCCCCATCCCAGAGGGATCAGCCACATCCTTGGAGTGGGGGATTTTTATCCCTGAAGTACCAAAATGAGGGGAAAAAGTGGAAATTTGGAGCTTTTTGTCTCCATCCAGCATTTCCCATCAGGAAACACAGACAGGATTGAGAAATCCATCCCGAGGAAAAGCTGGAAAACCTCCCAAGAATCTCCCATTTCCAAGAAAAATCCCATTTTTTTGGGAGTTTTACCTGCCAGGAAAGGCCTGCAGACAAATCCCTGCTGGAACATTCCCAGATTTTTCCTGGAATTGCAGCGGGAGCAGCTCGGGAGGGAAATCCCAGGAAACAGAAGCTCAGTCATTAAAACGTGGGAGCAGCAGGAATTTGGGATATTTCCAGAAAAATGGGATTTTTTTATTCCCATTTTTAAATCAGAATTAAATCAGAGTTAAATCAGAGTTAAATCAGAATTAAATCAGAATTAAATCTGAGTTAAATCAGAATTAAATCAGAGTTAAATCAGAGTTCCAGGATTCTTCCAGTTCCAGAGTTCCAGAATTCCAGGATTTTTCCTGGAATTGCAGCGGGAGCAGCTCGGGAGGGAAATCCCAGGAAACAGAAGCTCAGTCATTAAAACGTGGGAGCAGCAGGAATTTGGGATATTTCCAGAAAAATGGGATTTTTTTATTCCCATTTTTAAATCAGAATTAAATCAGAGTTAAATCAGAGTTAAATCAGAATTAAATCAGAATTAAATCAGAATTAAATCTGAGTTAAATCAGAGTTAAATCAGAATTAAATCAGAATTAAATCTGAGTTAAATCAGAGTTAAATCAGAGTTAAATCAGAATTAAATCTGAGTTAAATCAGAATTAAATCAGAGTTAAATCAGAGTTCCAGGATTCTTCCAGTTCCAGAGTTCCAGAATTCCAGGATTTTTCCTGGAATTGCAGCGGGAGCAGCTCGGGAGGGAAATCCCAGGAAACAGAAGCTCAGTCATTAAAACGTGGGAGCAGCAGGAATTTGGGATATTTCCAGAAAAATGGGATTTTTTTATTCCCTGTTTTCACCTCAGACCTCCCATGCTCCAGGTCCCTGTGGAGACTCCCAAAATAATCAGAATATTCCCGGTTTGCTGGGCCAGGAATGTTGGGATTTGTGGATTTTTCCACTTTTTGGCAGGAAATTCCCAAATCTGGGAATTTGGGCTCGGAGAGGTTTGGGTGGCTCTGCTGGAACATCCAGGATTTCATCCTTGGGGGATCAGAACTTGGGAATTTCTCAATTATTTCTGGATAAATCAGCCCCCTTTCATTATTATTATTATTATTATTATTATTATTATTATTATTATTATTATTATTTTATTTTTATTCTTATTTTTATTCTTATTTTTATTTTATTACTATTATTATTACTATTATTATTACTATTATTACTACCATTATTACTACTATCATTATTACTATTATTACTACTATTATTACTACTATTATTACTACTATTAATATTTTATTATTATTATCATCATCATCATTATCATTATCATTATCATAATTACCATTATAATATTATAATCATTATCATTATTATCATCATCATCATTTATTTTAATTATTTCTCTTACCATATTTATTCTTATTCTTATTTTTTATTTATTGCAAAATTGTATTGGTATTACTTAATAATAATATTATTATTGATACAATATTATTACAAATAAATAAAATAGCAATGGTGATATGATGATAATGATAATAGTAATAATAATGATAATGATTATGATCATTATAATAACTATAATAATAATGCTAATGATGATAATGATAATGATGATAATGATAATGATGATAATGATGATAATGATAATGATGATAATGATGATAATGATGATAATGAGGATAATGAGGATAATGAGGATAATGAGGATAATGAGGATAATGATAATGATGATAATGAGGATAATGATGATAATGATAATGAGGATAATGATGATAATGATAATGATAATAATGATGATAATGATGATAATGATAATGATAATAATGATAAGAATAAGAATAAGAATAAGAATAAGAATAAGAATAAGAATAAGAATAAGAAGATAAAGATAAAGAAGATAAAGAAGAAGAAGAAGAAGAAGAAGAAGAAGAAGAAGAAGAAGAAGAAGAAGAAGAAGAAGAAGAAGATAAAGAAGATAAAGAAGAAGATAAAGAAGAAGAAGATAAAGAATTAAAAATAGGATTTTCCCCCCTGATGTCCTGGGAAATCTGATTTCTTATCTGCATTTTCCAGCAATAAACGAGGAGTGAGAGAAGGTGAAATCCCTGAGGGATCAAATCTTTCAGCCAGAGCTGTGAAAATTGGGATTCATCCAGGCGGGGAGGGCAGGAGCAGCCAGAAAATTCCGGAATTTTCCCATTCCCAGCGCAAGGAAAGGCAGCAGCCCCTGGGAGAGGGGAGGGAAAAACAAATTATTGCACAGAGGCCTGATGGGGTGTGAAGATAAAGGGGTTTTATTGCCAAGAAATCCTAGAAAAAATGAGTTTTTAAACCGTGGAAAAGTACTAAAAGCACAGGAAATAAGGGATGGAATTCCCAGGGGATGAAAATTCCCATGGGAACAAGGGGGGCAAATGGAGCCCCAGGTCCTGCAGCACAAAAACCCTGGGATCGTGGAATTGTTCGGCTTGGAAGGGTTCAAATCACCAAATCCAGATAGCAAATGGCCTTTGGAGATTTTTAATTGATTTTTAATTGATTTTTAATTGATTTTTATTGATTTTTTAATTGATTTTTTATTGTTTTTTATTGATTTTTATTTATTTTAATTGATTTTAATTGATTTAAAATTGATTTTTAATTGATTTTAATTGTTTTTTAATTGATTTTAATTGATTTTTATTGATTTTAATTGATTTTTATTGATTTTTAATTGATTTTTAAATTGATTTTTAATTGATTTTAATTGATTTTTAATTGATTTTAATTGCTTTTAAATTGCTTTTAAATTGCTTTTAAATTGATTTTAACTTGATTTTAAATTGATTATTATTGATTTGTTATTGACTTTTAATTGATTTTTAATTGATTTAAAATTGATTTTTAATTGATTTTTATTGATTTTTGTTGATTTTAAATTGACTTTTATTGATTTTTATTGACTTTTAATTCCTTTTAAATCGATTTAAGTTGATTTTTATTGATTTATATTGATTTTAAATTGACTTTAAATTGACTTTTAATTGACTTTTAATTGGCTTTTAATTGACTTTACAATTTACTGACATCACAAACGAGAGGAACTCACAAACAAACACCAAAAATCCAAGCTCCTGCTGCGAGGAACTCACAAACAAACACCAAAAATCCAAGCTCCTGCTGCCCAAAAATGGAAATATTTTCCATTTCTGTGTTTTGAACCGGGCTCTGCCAAGAGAAGGACAAAAGTCAGGAGAAGGAAAATGTTATTTTTCAGCTTTGGAAGGTTCTAAAAATAAATGGAAAACATCTCTGGCCTGGAGATGAGGAGAGTTTCACACCAGGGCAGTTCTGGTGTAAAAAAAAAACAAATTATGGAGGAGATTGAAGGGAAAATTTTTTAAAAAAATTCTATTTTTTCTCCCAATTTTTTCAGACCTTTCCTCTTCTTTTTGTTCCCCAAGGACTCGAGGAGCAGATTTGGGAAGCTTGTTTTGTAATTCTGTGTTTTCCTAGGGTCCTGGAATCCCAAAAAAATCCCAATAAATCCCAATAAATCCCAATAAATCCCAATAAATCCCAATAAATAAAAAAAAAATCCAAATAAATCCCAATAAATAAAAAAAAAATCCCAATAAATAATAAAAAAAATCCCAATAAATCCCAATAAATAAAAAAAAATCCCAATAAATAAAAAAAATAAAAAAAAAATTCCAATAAATCCCAATAAATAAAAAAATCCCAATAAATCCCAATAAATCCCAATAAATCCCAATAAATCCCAATCAATCCAAAAAAATCCCAATCAATCCCAATAAATCCCAATAAATAAATAAATAAATCCAAAAAAATCCCAATAAATCCCAATAAATCCCAATCAATCCCAATCAATCCCAATAAATCCCAATAAATAAATAAAAAAATCTAAAATATCCCAATAAATCCCAATAAATAAAAAAAAAACCCAATAAATCCCAATAAATCCCAATAAATCCCAATCAATCCCAATAAATTCCAATAAATCCAAATAAATCCCAATAAATAAAAAAAAATCCAAAAAAATACCAATAAATCCCAATAAATAAAAAAAAAAATCCCAAAAAATCCCAATAAATCCCAATAAATAAAAAATAAATCCCAATAAATCCCAAGAAATCCCAAGAAATCCCAATAAATCCCAATCAATCCCAATCAATCCCAATAAAAATGATGCTTGGAGGCCCAACCTGGCTCCAAAGAACCATCCTGGATCCCAAGGTGCTGCTCCCTGCCTTCCTCTGCTGGTGGCCCAACTTTTCCATGGCTCAAATTCCAGAACCAGGGAAGAAATCAGCTGGAAAAATCAAGGGATAGAGTGAAAAAAACCTCAAGGTGAAGTTAAAAAATGAAAGATAACGTTGAAAAAAAAAAATGAAGGATAAAGTTAAAAAAAATGAATGAGAAAGTTAAAAAAAATGAGGCTGAAGCTAAAAAAAAAATTAAAATTTAAGGATATTTTAATATAGGATGGATATTTTAATATAGGATGGATATTTTAATACAGGATAGATATTTTAATATAGGATGGATATTTTAATATAGGATGGATATTTTAATATAGGATGGATATTTTAATATAGGATGGATATTTTAATATAGGATGGATATTTTAATATAGGATGGATATTTTAATACAGGATGAATATTTTAATATAGGATGGATATTTTAATACAGGATGGATATTTTAATATAGGATGGATACTTTAATATAGGATAGATATTTTAATATAGGATAGATATTTTAATATAGGATGAATATTTTAATATAGGATGGATATTTTAATATAGGATGAATATTTTAATATAGGATGAATATTTTAATATAGGATGGATATTTTAATATAGGATGGATATTTTAATACAGGATGGATATTTTAATATAG